CCCCCATACAATATCCTGATGGCTGAGTCACCGAGGTTATTTGGGGGGTTCTCAGAAATTATGGGTTGATGTTGACACAGAAGACACTTTTTGTGTTTGTGGGCAAACTGCGGGGCATCGAGGAGTRGAGCTGAGATAAACGTGATGGGAAAAAAAGACGACAAGAGGTTCAAAGACCGAGTTTTGGACAAACTGCGCTGCTTAAACATCCCATTGACTGAAAGGGCAAAAACAACCTGACGGTGCTGGGAAAATGTTTTCAGATGGAGCAAATGGCACAGCAACACAGTCATGTAGTTTTATATTTTTCTCACTGTGTGGTTGTGAGAGGAAAACTGGGATTGGTTACTGAATCATTTTGAGCCTAAAGACTTTTCCAGTCTCCGCCAAAAAGTGGTGAWCCTCAGGCTTCCTGCCTTCTGCACCACACATATCTCATGTGGGAATTTATTCAATGTTTATTTACGAAGCAGTTTAGTTATAAATGGAAATACTGTACTTGTTTCACACAGGTTAACTTTATCCAAATATATAATGAATTATGCGACTCATTATAAACAGCTGTGATCATAAAGTGGTTAGTTCTCTGCGTTGTGGCCTCAGCAACCCTGGTTTGAATATGGATCACAGCAAGATCAGTTTCTTTTGGTTTTGCTTTAGTTGTACGACAGCTTCCTAAAACAAAACATTTCACTTTGCAACTTGCTGAGGAACAATGGAGATATTAACACAGCTGGACTTCTCATTAACGTTAAACTAATTTAATTAACAACAGCAAAAGAGATAAAGAAGGGAAGATTTTATCTTCTCTGTGACTTTTTTTACTCGTCATTGTAACAGTCTGTATTTTTAATTATGTATAGAAAAACAATGAACAGTTTCAAGTTTCAATTAATGCAAATTAGTTATGAATTATGCAGCTCGTTGTTGATTGTACAGTGGTTAGTACTCTGTGTTGTGGCCTCAGTCTGACTGCTGATCATGACAAGTTTGTCTCTTCTTATTTTTAAGATATCTTCCTAAAAAATACAGTTTTCTTTGCAAATTGTTAACACAAGGCACAACACAGTYGGACTGCTCATTAATGCAGTTTTAATTAATAACAGCAAAACAGATACAGAAGGGAAGCTTTAATCTTCTTGATGACTAGTTTACTTAGAATTGTTACAGTCCATTTTTTAAGTGTGTGAAGTTAAAACAATGAACACTTACACGTTTTGATTTATGCAGTTAATCCATTAATTATGCTGCAAATGTAAACAGCCGTGATCGTACAGTGGTCTCTGCGTTGTGGCCGAAGCAACCCCAGTTCAAATCTGGGTCACAGCAATTTAGACTTTCTCCCTAAGACCAAAACCACTTAAAGTTTAATAATTTAAACTGAAAAGGTTTAATCTCAAACCCTTTATATTTCTCAATAGGGGAAAAACATCACATTTGTGAACTTTCAAATTCTATTACTTCATGCAAGTAACTCATAAATTATGCATTTTAACAAACACCCATGATTGTTTAGCATTTTTTACTTGTAGTTCCCGGAACGTGTATCAAATCTATGGAAGCCCATTTCCGCCACCCTGATAAAAATAAATAAATAAAACTTTTATACATATACATATATACATATATATAACATAATAATGAGATAGCTAAGTCATAATTATGAGATACTATCTCATAATTATGACTTAGCTATCTCATTGAGATAGCTAAGTCATAATAATGTGAGATTATTAATTAATTAATAATTAATTAATATCTCATAATTATGAGATAGTACCTCATAATAATGAGATAGCTAAGTCATAATTATGAAATAGCTAAGTCATAATTATGAGATAGTATCTCATAATAATGAGATATTATCTCATGATTATGACTTAGCTATCTCGAGATAGCTAAGCCATAATTATGAGATACAAGTTTTATTTTTTTTATCAGGGTGGCGGAAATGGGCTTCCATACAAATCTGTTTCATGGCAAGTTTTTGGTTTTTGTTTTTATCCTGTTTAATTTTTTGTGGTATTTTCTGTAGTAACGGTCAGATAAAGTATATTGCATTTAACATGTCAGCCTATTTAAAAAAGTAAATAAAAGGAATAACTAAAGACATTGTAACTCAATTTGGCAACTTCTTAATATTACTGATGATTAAGGCTAAAGTGTGACATTTTCAATTAGTTTGCTTTCTCTCCTTCCCTAAATTAAGACTAACAATTTTGTCAATCAAAAAGAAGAAAACTTGACAGGTTTTTCAGAGACTTGTTTTCCCCATGTGACAATAAACGCTTCTGCTGACAGATACAGTAGCTAATTAAAACCTTATGAACCAACAGCCGTGATCGTATAGTGGTTAGTACTCTGCGTTGTGGCCGCAGCAACCCCGGTTCGAATCCGGGTCACGGCAATTTTATAAATAATTACAATGACTTGCAGAACTGCTTTGAACTAATACAGTTTAATGTCTATTTGGTTGTTCACGGAAGTTGCTTAATATAATAATGTATCGCCTACTAATCCAGCAACTTTTCTAACAAACATTATATTCTCGCGATACTTCACTCCCAAGTCTCGTTCATGTAAACCAACCCGGAAGCGAATGGCGGAAACCTAGATCCACCTTACGCTTTCCGCTTCCAGTTTTTTAGAATTTGTCCCGTATTAATTATTATATTGAAAGGTTTGACTTGCCGAGGAGTAAGCAGATGTTTTTACTAACAGCTTTAAAGCTTTAAAGGAACAATGAGGTCGCATCGAGCTGCCCGGCAGGTTATGATCCAGGGCTGAATGGACGGATGGGCAGCCGAGTGATTCAGCTGAAGAGAGTCCTCTGCCAAATTYACCACCGGTAATGTTAACGCCGTCATCTCACTTTCTCTTTTAGCTTTAAACTGTGATTAAAAACTTGTATCAACAGTTAGTTTGTGTTAATTATTAACTAAGGCACGAGAATTAAGAGTTTTTGCAGAAAATTATCAACAAAACCGTGCAGCTGCGACCATATTAGCTTCAAAACTGCTGTTTCCATGTTTAATGAATATTTTTATAGGCAGACAAACTGACTTTACCTTCCTATATTTAGCCGTGATGTCATTTCTATGCATTTTGTGTGACTTTCAAATAAATGTGCATATTGTGTTATTTAGTTTTGACATCTGCAAAACTGTAAAAGCAAGTTGTAACAAATCTTTACCAGGCGCTTAAAAAAAAGCCAAATAAGCTGTCTCTTGCTTTAAAAGTTATTTAGAGGTATGTTTCGACACTGTAAGTAATCAAAGTCTCATTTATTTGTGTGTGTCAAGATCAAACCCTCCTTTAGTGACGCCTCATTTCCAGACATATGGCCCTGCTGCTCAGCTAGCCGAGAGAAGCAGCGATCATGTTCCTGAAAACATCCTTCACCTCGCTGATCGTGGGGGTGTTTGTGGTGTACGTGCTGCACACCTGCTGGGTGATGTATGGGATCGTCTACACCAAACCCTGCGACAGCCCCAGAGGAGACAAGTGCATCACGCCTTTCCTGGCTGCAACCCCGAAACTACAGGTCAGCGCTACGGTCCGAGCATCGGCTCAGTATTTTTCACATCACACTGTTTTTTTTTTTTTTTTAAATTTTCATAATGTTGAAACAATAACTGTGACGTCTCTGTGCTCTAGTTGAGTATCTACACTTCGCTACAAGCAAACGCAGAAGGAGGGCACACTTTGATTCATAAAGAGGAGAGCTTTGATGTCAACAACAAGTTTGAGAGGTTGGGACTSGAAATGATGTCATCTTTTAGATTAAAATAAACTCAAAGCTTCACATTAATAAGATGCACTTCTTTTTTTATTGTTTCCTTGCAGGGTAGTCAACGTCTCCCTTCCCAAGAAAACACGCAACAATGGAACTTTGTACGCACTAATATTTGTCCACCAGGCTGGTTTCAGCCCGTGGCAGGACCCACGACAGGTCCACTCAGTGGTCCAGCTCACCACCTACATGGTCCCAAAACCTCCTGAAATCTCTCTTATTTCTGGAGAAGATCAAACCCAGGTAGCTGCTTTGTTTCCACTTGAAACGGTTACTAGTCGGGTTTGTTTTTCGACTGTTATTAAGTGGATCGTCATCATGTGACGCTGAGGAGTTTTGTGGGTTTCTGGTTTTGTGTGTGTGTGATCTGACAGGGTCAGAAACAGGAAGAACAGAAGAAGAAGCAGGGTGACGGTAAGCCTGCGGTGGGAACCGGGGTTAAAGGCGGAGCCTCTTCACCGGACCACCCGGTCTCCCACTGGCGCTCGCGTCTGACGCTCAACGTCGTCGGTGACCACTTCCTGTTTGACAGAGATTACCTCCCAAGTGACGTTCACAGATACCTCCGAGTGTAAGAGAGTGGATCAACAACACTTTGTTGTTTCCTAATCCTTGTTTTTATTTATTTATTTATTTATTTATTTATTTATTTATTTATTTATTACCATCTAACTACTACTATTATAGCTATTCATTCTTATAACAAAAACTTCAGCTTTTACAGCAGATGGTGCGATGACTTAAGTTTTTTTAAACTTATCAATATATTTTATTTTATTTATAAATATTTAGCTTTTTGAAAAACGTTTTTTTTCTAAACCCTTTAAAAAAACATTCTCTTTAAAATCTTCAGTGTGTTTGCTACTTCTATAATTTAGATTTCAGCTAACGTTTTGCAGCTTTCAGCTAGCATTTTGCAGCTTTCAGCTAGCGTTTTGCAGCTTTCAGCTAACGTTTTGCAGCTTTCAGCTAGCATTTTGCAGCTTTCAGCTTGTGTTTGCAGCGTTCAGCTAATGCTTGCAGCTTTCAGCTAGCGTTTTGCAGCTTTCAGCTAATGTTTTGCAGCTTTCAGCTAGTGTTTTGCAGCTTTCTGCTAGTGTTTTGCAGCTTTCAGCTAGCGTTTTGCAGCTTTCAGCTAACGTTTTGCAGCTTTCAGCTAGCATTTTGCAGCTTTCAGCTTGTGTTTGCAGCGTTCAGCTAATGCTTGCAGCTTTCAGCTAGCGTTTTGCAGCTTTCAGCTAATGTTTTGCAGCTTTCAGCTAGTGTTTTGCAGCTTTCTGCTAGTGTTTTGCAGCTTTCAGCTAGCGTTATTTTGCGGCTTTCAGCTAGCGTTGTGCAGCTTTCAGCTAGCGTTGTTTTGCACCTTTCAGCTAGCGTTGCTTTGCGGCTTTCAGCTAGCGTTGTTTTGCGGCTTTCAGCTAGCGTTGTTTTGCGGCTTTCAGCTAGCGTTATTTTGCGGCTTTCAGCTAGCGTTGTTTTGCGGCTTTCAGCTAGCGTTGTTTTGCAGCTTTCAGCTAGCGTTGTTTTGTAGCTTTCTGCTAGTGTTTTGCTGCTTTCTGCTAGTGTTTTGCTGCTTTCTGCTAGTGTTTTGCAGCTTTCTGCTAGTGTTTTGCAGCTTTCTGCTAGTGTTTTGCTGCTTTCAGCTAGCGTTTTGCTACCTTTAGTTTTTGCTAACCCGTTGCTTCTTTTTAGCTTCAAGCTTGTTTTTTGCTAGTATTAGCTTTTAGATAACCTTTTGGTAGACTTTTCCTACATTTGGCTTTTAGCTTGCCTTTTGCAGTAGCTTATCATGATTGCTTTGCTACTTTTAGCTTGCATTCTGCTTCATTTAAACTTAACAACTCAGTTTCAGCTTTTTGAAACATATTTGAGCAAAAGTCCATTACTGTGTTCACTTTATTTTTGTAGAAGAAGTGATTTGTCTGGTTTAATATTCAGCTAAGCGTGAATAATAATTACGTTTGAGAAAAGCAGGCGTCTGTCTGCTCTGCTCGCACGTTTCCAGGTTAGGTTTTTAAATAAAAAAAACATGGTTTTATTTGTGTTTTTAGGTTCCAGAATGGGAAAAAGATGGTGTATCTACCTCTGCTGTTTGTCGATGAGCTCAGCAACAGAGTCAAAGACCTGGTGGTGAGTTCTGACCTTTAACTGGTCCCAGCTGAAACAATAAAATCAAACACGCAATTTCTTTTTATTGCATTCTTTATTTCCTTGAGCCTCATTAGAACACAGCTGACATTTTAACAATGAGGCGCTGAGAACCACCTGAACGATAACCTCACAGGAGGAAATGATCCGTACATTTTGGTGTTTATCGCAGGAGATCAACAGCACCTCCACCGAGCTGCCTCTGACCATCTCCTACGACTCCATCTCTCTGGGGAGACTTCGGTTCTGGATCCACATGCAGGACGCTGTTTTTTCTCTGCAGCAGTTCGGTGGGTTAACCTTTCAGCGAATCTCACACAAAGCGACACACAGATCCTTTTAACGAGTTGTTTTATAGGTTTCACAGAAAAGGATGCTGATGAGATTAAAGGGATCTTTGTGGACACCAACCTGTATTTTCTGGCTCTGACCTTCTTTGTTGCTGCTTTCCATGTGAGTTGTGCCAAACAAAGCTGTGGCAGTTAGGGTGCATTATGTTTTCTAGTGTAGTTTTCATCTTCTTCTGTGCCTCCTCCCAGCTCCTCTTTGACTTCCTGGCTTTCAAAAACGACATCAGCTTCTGGAAGCAGAAGAAGAGCATGGTGGGAATGTCCAGTAAAGCAGGTGGGTGATTTCTCTGCAGTCATGCGAGAAACCCGCAGCGTGAACAGCTGCAGGTTCCTGTTTACGAGCTGAACAGGCTGTACTTTACAGGATGTACTTGTCAGCCAGTGATAAACCTTTTGGGGAAAAAAAACAAAAAAAAATGTGTAAAACAAGTGACGTGACAATGAACGAGGCATCATCTGTGCATCAGAGCTGAATGTGATTCAGTAAATCTGGACCGCTGCGTGCCCAGATGTTGCATTTTGCATCCTTCTGCTCACCTTCATCATTTCAGAGTAACAGTTCTTCATGCAGACTACTAATTTATTTACAGCATGACATCTAGAGTTTGTGTTAATAAACATGATTGCTCTGCTTATAGTTTTATTTTCTTGTGCTAAAAGTCTCTAAGGGGGGATTTTACCTATAAAACTTAAAAAGGCTATAAAAAGGCTCTTGTCACTAAAATGTTTCCACTGATTAAGATCACATTTAGAGGAAACTCTGCTGTAATCAGAACATTGCGTGGTCGTTGGGTTTTTATAACCTGGACAGAAATGTAACTGTAGTGTATTTTATCTTTTATGTTCTTTCAGTGCTGTGGAGATGTTTCAGCACCATAGTGATCTTCCTCTATTTGTTCGACGAGCAGACAAGCCTGCTTGTGCTCATACCAGCTGGGATCGGCTCTATTATTGAAGTAAACACACACACACACACACACACACACACACTGACCAGCTGCATGATAACAGAAAACAAGGATTTTTTGTGACCAGAAGTTACCACATTTATAAAAATCCATGTCAACTAAGCTCACTAATGAAATACCTGCTACAATAAGTTTGGATTATAATAAAATGTTAACACTCGGTTTTGAAATCATTTGCAGGAAACAGAATTACCGTATTTATTCAAGTATAATACGTAAAATTAAATCTGTAAAATCATCCGTAAAGTTGGGGGGTAGTACTATACTC